TGATTGTTCTGCACAATCTTACCATTGGTATTATTTTTATAGTATTTTGTTTTTCCCCTAGAATTTGTCACATTTTTATTGAATATTTCTCTCATTGCTTTGTTTGTTTTCGATTGTCACAATTTTCAAAAAGGGAAAAAAAAAGATTTGTGGATTTACATGTATGTTAACTTTGGCATTGATGGGTTAACGAGTTTTGCTTACAATAGCTTCCTATTTAGGCAATCTAATATGGTGTTTACACGTGGGGGGAAGGCTAGCCTAAACTAGGTCGATCAATAATCCTTATCCATGGTTTAAAACTCTGAAGCGTTTACACGTATTGCTGGTTTAGTTTAGATCAACATGACGTCATCACCTCGCCATGATGCCATCAGCTCGTCAAAAAAATCCATAGTTGTAAATGCTTGGCCACTCCTCTTGTTATGGTCAAGCACTTTCTTGAACTGGGTTCATAATCGCTTACTTTCTTCCTTGGCACTGCTCTGGTGTTCGAAACAAACCATGTCCCCTGACCTTCTCCGAAATAATTCTATAAACACAAGAGTCACGCGTAGTTCCATCCATCATCTGTCTTACGCTTTCATCTTTCCAAACACTTATTAATAACTGTGTGGCATACGACCACATATTTCCACGAGCTCTATTCACGTTGTTGTCATCAGCTGCCATGTTGAATGTGAAAGTTAAGCGTGATAGCGCTCTTCAAAGACGGCTTCAAGTGTTTACACGAATCGCAAGGTCTTGTTTAGATCTGAGTGCTGGCTCGAAACCACCACCTTTAGTGCGGCTCCAATTAAAATGGCGTCTGTTTACACATATTTTTTTAACACCGGCTCCCCCTTGGAGCTGGCCTTTTCCCCACGTGTAAACACGATATATATTGAAAGTTCCTAAAACAGAATGCAGTTATCATTTGTGATAGTACAAAACAGTGTGTAGGTAGAGAGTTCAGTGCAGTTTGTAAGTGTGTACACGTGTGTATATCTTTATATGCATATTCCTAATAGAGCTCAAAGGAAAAATTAGCTAGAATCTGTAAACTTGGCACACATGTTCCAGAAGACCTGTTTACACTATTTTATACTTTTTCAGATTGTCAATCAGTTAGTAAAGCAGGAATTGGTTGATAGTGTCACTGCTCTGAAGAGGAAAAAAGGGTGAGTAGTAATCTACTGTAAATAACTGTATTTCAATTTTGTATTGTAACCACAGTATATGGTGTAATCTACTGTGTAATACTGAATCATAAAATGTTTTATTTTAGAGTTAAAAAGGTGATGATATGGAGAGAAGAACAGGAACTAGAATTACAAAACCTGTATGAACAGTACAAAGAATCTGATGGTAAGATACATTGAAATGTAACGTAAATAATCTGAAACTCATTCAACGTTAATGATGTAGTTTATCCCAAATATTAAAAATTTAAAACATTAAATATGCAAGTTCTATTGTTATTCAATGCTAGATGTTTAATAGTTAGGAACTTTGTGATATACAATGAAAATTCGGTCCAAATTGAAGAATTCATGGAAATTTAATGGTCATCACAATAATAATGTCAAATCTACATTTCTCGAAATTCTTATGCAAGTTTACTACATCACCTACCAGAAAGTCTGTGGAAGTAATAAATTTATTACTCGTTAGGCTTACTTAATTAGTGAGTGTGAAAATTTTTTAAAGCGTGCAAAGCATGTAAATTATTGAATGTGCTGATAAGCTTGGTCATCTCAGTTCACATGTCCACTGCATTTTATTAATTAGAAATGGTTAAAAATGGGATGGGGTCATTTTCAAATGCATGCAAAGCACAAGAGTTTAGTTCCAAAAAGATTTTCATTGCATAGCATTGTATATTGTTACAAAGATGCATACCTTTATCTTATAATTAAAAATGATGAGCTTTGGGCAAATTTAATTAGTAACAGTAGGACAATTTGATGATGCGTTAGGTATGCAGATTCCCTGGCCAATTGATGAGCCACAATGGGATACATATACATTATACTGGGCCTGTGGAAAAAAAATTCTAGGTATGTGATTTTAAGCACCATTATGTGTGACTCAAATTTTGTAGATATTTTGGGAAATATTCTTGAAAGCATGTCTGAGAAGCGGTCAAAGAATAAAGTGATAGAAAAGCTGATAGCAATGGGAATGGTATCAGAAAGGAAAGAATTGTATAAGAAACGAAAGAGCAAAGGAAGAAAAGAAAAGAATAAAGAGGTATTGAGTGATTTATTATAAATATGGCTATTTGCAAATATTAGAAATTGTGCTTCTCTAGAACATGTACACAGTGTGTGTCTTTGCAATTACCACCAGAAACAATAAATGTGGGGAAAATTGCCTGGCACAAAAATCTAAAAAACAAAGTTACTTTACTTCATCATGAATGCCATTTAACTACTTGTTCGTTCTTGGACGAGTTAGTATTAAAATATGCTAGCCAAATTCTCCCCAAAAATTGTGCTAATTGCCTACCGTAAAATCTGTATTAGAAGCTGCATCCCTAATAGAAGTCGCACCCATTTTTTTTGAATAAATTGAACAAAAAATTCATTATTTCTCATATGTGTAGATGCTCTAATAGAAGCCGCATCCCTTCTGTTGCATTGTACCATTTTAATAGAAGCCGCGGTTTCTAATACAGGTTTTACAGTACTAAGCAGTGAAATTTGTTTTTTTCTTTGTCTTGTGAATTTGGATATGACTGAAGCTACATTCGTCACACTGCTCCAAATCTATTTCAGCAACTACGTGTACATATCTTTTAAACTTTGCTGCCAGGATTTATTGTGATACATGTATGTGCATTCATGCAAGTCACTGAAACACATGTTATAGTACCCCAAAGAAATTTTTACTGCTGCAAAATTTAGCTATTTTCTCTTACTCGTGTAATTTGTGAAAATTACAGTAAGTACATTGTTTTAAAAATAGACTTTGATAATCTGTACAATGTTTCAGTGAAGAAGTATATTCCAGTTGCATTTCTAAGACAAATATTTTTCTAATATTTTATAGGATAACTTTTTTGAAGAGGGAATGGAGATGGAAGGTATGTAACGGTAATGTCACTCAGCCCTCCCTCATAACATTTCGGTTGCTGAAATGAACTTGTGTATTTTTTTTTTATGAGTCATAAGTGAGTGTTATAAAAATGACCGCCAATTTAAATATTTTCCATGACATTGTGAGTACAAAAAAAATATGGAACACTACATTATAAATTGGTGAAACAACTCTTGACATTTGACAAATCATACACTGACTTCTCACTGAGGAAAAATGAAATTTTGTCCTAACAGCTGATTTCACTATGACACTACTAGCTTAAATTTGTGCAATTAATGTATATAAACCAAACTCGTTTTATTTTGCGGCCACCTTTTACAATTTATTCCATATTTTTTCCCAACTGTTTTGATCAAATTGTAAAGGCAATTTTGTATAAAAATTTGCAGAACCAAACAAATTTGTTTTGATTAGCCTCACTCAACTGACCCTCTCTCCCATAGGTGAGAGGTTATTGGTGTACTTGCTAGGTTTTGCAGTCTCTAATAAATATATATGTGGTAGTGGAACATTTAAAAGTTTTTACAAAATTCATAGACTTATTGAACAAATGAATGAAACAAATGAATAATTACAGGCAATCAAATATTCACCTAACAACATGCAACACAAGATTTGAATTCATGCACACGAGCATACCTTCTAACCACTACAGGTGAACACACTAACCACTGAACCATAATGACTGACCAATAACAGCCAGCTGGTCTGTAGTAAACACGTCCCACAGCAACTAAAAATACACTAGCTGAATCTAGAACTGAAACATTGTATAGTAGGAAAACTATACATATAGAAAGCCGTGTATTCATGGTTCTGACCACTCAGCGTATTATCAGGTTTGGCCTCATGTGGTTTTAAAATTCACTGTTGCATTATTAAACAATTATGATTGTATTGGATTATAGAAATCCCTCATTCAGATGAAGAAGCAGAAGAATTGGGTAGTGATGAAACTGATGATGATGATGACGACTACTTTGGGTTATCCGTATCCCAATTGTTAAAAAAGGTCAAACAATTGGGTAAGTATGATCACAGTTGTCAGTTGTCGTGTTAGATCGTTGACAGAATTGTACATGACTTTATAGCTGTGTATTTGCTCTATATAAGCACACATCTCCGATAGAAGTGCACATCATGCCAAATTACATTTCACTTTCTAATCCACAGAACTAATTTTGACGATAACACTGTATCATTTACACACTAGTGCGTTCCATGTAATTACACTTACCGGTAATTATATATGTATTACCGGTATATGTTTATTTACATTCATAGGTTTCATAGAACAAGTTAAGTGGATATTGACTGGTTTAAGAAGAACTGCTGATGATAGACAAAGTGAAAGTAAGTTTCTATGGATAGATAGTGAAAGTAACAAAAAAGAGAAACGTGAGCTTTGTTCGATGTAGATCATAATGGGAGCAACTGACTGTAAATGGCTGTTGATTTTTGTTTTGTCTTCTGACAGATGACAGTGAACCTGTTGCTATTGTACCATTAACAGTTGAAAATGAACAAGCAATGGAAAACGGTGGATTTAAATCTTTTCTCAAGGCAATTGGAATGTCGCCACCAGCTAACCACCAGGTAAGCATAGAAGTTATGTATCACATGACAATATTCATTCAAATTTGTAATATTTTGCATGAAATGTCATGTTACAGGTTATTATTTATGCATATTTGAATAGTATGCAGAGAAAAATGTTAAGAGCATGTGAAACTTTCTGACTGCCAATCTTAGGTTGTGTTAGCCTTCTGACTGCCAATATCAGCCTGTGTTAGTCTTTCAACTGCCAATCTCAGCCTGTGTTAGCCTTCCGACTGCCAATCTCAGCCTGTATTAGCCTTCCGACTGCCAATCTCAACCTGTGTTAGCCTTCCGACTGCCAATCTCAGCCTGTATTAGCCTTCTGACTGCCAATCTCAACCTGTGTTAGCCTTCCGACTGCCAATCTCAACCTGTGTTAGCCTTCCGACTGCCAATCTCAGCCTGTGTTAGCCTTCCGACTGCCAATCTCAGCCTGTGTTAGCCTTCCGACTGCCAATCTCAGCCTGTGTTAGCCTTCCGACTGCCAATCTCAGCCTGTGTTAGCCTTCCGACTGCCAATCTCAGCCTGTATTAGCCTTCCGACTGCCAATTTCAGCCTGTGTTAGCCTTCCGACTGCCAATCTCAGCCTGTGTTAGCCTTCCGACTGCCAATCTCAGCCTGTGTTAGCCTTCCGACTGCCAATCTCAGCCTGTGTTAGCCTTCCGACTGCCAA